AATAAATATATGTATTTATTTTTTTTTTAGTTTATATATTTTTATGATAGTTCATATACGCTTATATTTATTTGGGTAGTATTAGTTCAATACATTTTCATACAACCCTCGTACTGTTCAATGTTAAATGACAAATCTCTGACAGTTTATGAGCGCTTGCTGTAAGTTCAAGAGAACTTAAAGCTCATTAGCAGCTTAACAGTTGAACAGAGTAAGAATGTTCTCTTCAGTTACGCATGAATAGCTCAACAGCTCTATAGTTGACATCGTTCATAATGTGACAGCTAAAGAGTAGAAGTTATGGGTTACGGAACCGCTGAAAATAGAACAGAAAAAAAGCTAAATTGAAAGGATATTTAAAGTAATACAATAAACTTGTATTCTATTCATGACTGTCATCATTCCATTTTTGATTGAACCACGGACTGATCACCTAATAAATAATCTCTCAAGTCTCAAGAGACTCTTTTCAATGAAATGCAATGAGAAAACTCTAATCCTTAAGGACACTCTACTCTCTTCAACTCATACACAGGAGATGACGCCAATTTTGCGAAACGAGCTCGTCTTTGACCGGCACTCGACGCTGTCGCAGCGCTCGGCACTGGAGTCGCTTAAGCGTGAGTCCATTGAATTGGAATTGCAAATACGTCAGCTGCAGGTGGGTAACAAGCTATCATATATAATATATATATGTACTTGCGAAATACCCTTACTTACTTACACATACTTATATGTCCATGTATGTGTTTCTTGCAGGACTCCATCGATGCGCTGAATCGCACACAAATGCGCGGCATTGAGGGTCAGCTCTACAACAAGGTTAACGAGCTGCAGGAGGATTTATCCATGAAGAAATTCGATTTGCGCGCCAAGCAAATACACCTGGCTGCCATACGAGCACAGGTGAGTTTTAGACCTCTTTACCGTATGGAAAAGCTTGACTTAGCTTAGACAACTACTTGAGCTTTAAGCTTGCTGAGTTGCCATAAAGTAGGCAGCTTTTTGTGGCAGCTTTTTCTCAGCTCCTGTGGCACCTGTTGGATGTGCACCCAAAGCGAGCTTTTACAACTAACGAAAAGTTCTATGTAATGGGCATCTCACTCTCTTGGGAGAGAAACTAAAGTTTCTCGTCTAAACTACATTGGCTTTCATTTGTGTTGTGAGACAGTGCCCCATAAAAGTGTGAGTGCACGCTTCAAAGTACACATGCACCGAGCCCACGCACAGGCACACACACACACACACACACACACATAGGTAGTATGTAGGTCAAACAGCTGTCTTTTAGGTTTTGCCATTCAGTTCTCCAGTGACTCTCAGTGCGCATGTCTCACACATTCGTTTAAAATGCTCCCAGAATGCTGTGGGAGCACAACTCCGGAAGGACGTAACGTACTTCGCTCGTTTAGTATTGCGATAGAGTAGCTAGCGTCTGGTGGTCAGACAGTGTCCTGTGTGCAACAATAACAACTCGACGATGTCTTCGTTAACACGTGCCTGAACATTTCATGCAAACTAACAATTATGCGCTGAGTGTCTGTGGCCGTGCGTGTGCGTGTACGTGCGTGTGTGTATGTTTTTTTGTGTGCCACTGTGCGTATGAAACTAAGTGATATAGAATTGTTTGTTTGTTTGTTTGTTGGCACTAAACTCGAAGCTCGCACAGCTGTTTCGGCTCGGCTAACGAAAGAGTGAGAGTATGAGTGAGTGAGAGTGGAGAGCGCAGCGTTGCCAGATCGTCGTCGTTGTCGTAGTCGTCGTTGTCGTAGTCGTAGTCGTCGTTATCGTAGTCGTCGCTGTCGCTGTCGTCTGCTGTTTATAAAAGCAACGTGCTAGCCTCGTACCAGCTCAGTCACGTGCCTGCATCTGAACGTTGCTGATAACGCGCGTCGAGCCAACAAAGTCGCCTTTGTTGTTGCCTGCCACTTAGCTGTTGAGTGATCCGCAATTCGTACGACACCACCACCAATAACAACAACAACAACCATAACAACAACAACAAATTAAAGAAAAACAAAAGCATCGCCTTTGATTGGCTGCCATAGCTCGTGTCCAGAAGACTATATATAGATATATATAGAGATATAAATACTGTCTATCCATGCGAAATGCTCTGGCATTCGTTCTAGTCGAAGGCGTTGTCCCCACATTAACAATAACAACAACAATCAACAATAACCAATTACCAATTACCAATTTATCCTTAGACAATATAAATATATGTATATGTAATAAATACATTTGATAGAGGCGCAGTACAGGGCAGGCTTTTGTGTTCAGATACAAAATCGAATAAACCTAAACTATATTGATATAGTCAAACTTGATTTGAGCGTAAGTAAAGAGCAACCAAAATACCTATGTCGTTGATCAACGGCAAACAACACCAATTAAGTAATTAACTAACGTTAGAGGCAGCGCATATTGTAATATAAAAATCTATACATATTTCAATTCAGCTTTCTATCCAAAACTAAATCTAAATCCAAATAGCACGCATACGCACCGTGCGCCGCAAACGTTACAATCTGAACAGTACGAAATTCCAAATTCAATTAATTACTAATTTGTAGCACTGTCGCAAGTTTTCTTCGATACATTTTGCCTGCTTTCCGTATTAATCGTAATTAGTGCATACAACTAACAAATATAGTCGGTTGACAAAAACCCAAAACTTGGCTAAAAGACAATAAGAATATATATATACACACACACATACACACGCTTGTTTAAAATTCTTAGCAGATATCGCAATAGCAATAGCTAGAACTACATTTATTTCTTATTACACACAAACACACACACAAATAGCATCTAGTGCCTAACTATAGATATACTATATATAGTAACAAATGCTACTTACTCTCGCTAAACTGTACTGTAAATAGCACAGCTAATTAAACTAAACTAAGCCAACTAGTAGTTAACACTATAATAATTTAATAATTTAATTAACAATAATATTCCCGCTCGAATGAACAACTCCGTTTGCAAACGGCATTTGAAGGACTCGCTAGCATAAATCGGAGCATTTGCCTTTCAATTAATAATAATTGTTGTTGTTACCTCGTCGTGTGTTCAGACCATCGCTAAGCAATAATAATTCACATAAACCCACACACACTTACACCCACACCCACACACACACCCACTAATCACTAATCTAAAGTAAAGTAAAGAAAGGAATAATACAAAGAAAAAACAGTGCACCATGCGCGTTATCGTACTCAAAAAGAATCGCACTAACAAACGCGGCACGCCCACGGCAACTGCCACGCGAGAGCCGCCAAAAAAATCGTACGCAAAAGTAAGAAATTCGTATTATCTCGTTGCAATTAACAATTGGTTTTATTATTTATCAAAGTGCTTGAGTTGAACTAATATCGAAATGCTCTTTCCATATCTAATAATAATGATGAGTTAAGAGAGATTGCATTGAGCCATCACCGACTGCATAATACTCGTTCGTAGTTCGGAGATGGTGGACTTTGATAAAATTTTAATATTATCTACAGGTCTGTCTGTTGAGTAGATCAAGGCTTAAGATTATATATAGTTATAGTTCATTTATGAACAAAGAGGTGAAATTAAAAATGATAATTACTTTATAAATCGATATTTGTTATTACAATATTATTAAATGATATATTTTTTATTTTTATCTCGAATTGAGTTTTTAGAAAAAGTTAATACAGTCGTCCCAATAATTCGAAATAGCAAGGAGATCGTTTTTCTCGATTTGCACAGAAATGCAAACTATCGAGAATTATCGAGAACGAACTTTGTTCAAAAGCTTCGAATTTTTTGTCGATTAATCGAGATTTTTTATTTAGGGTACAACTTATCGAGACTCGATTGCATTTTAAAATTCCAAATAAGTTTAATTTAGTTAATTATGCCAGTAAGAGTGTATATATCGAAGAATATTACATACTAAAACATATTGGAATGCACTCGAGTATAAATACCCAACTTCAAACTTCAGGCAGACAGATAGCAAAACTAATCTTATTTATAACCCAGCCAATATCCTCAGTTATTGAGTATTAAAAATAATTATAAGAAATATTTAATCAAATATGGAAAGGGCATGTTAGCTTCGTTCTAGCGAAGATACAAGTTTACAAACGATCAAAAAATAATATATTTAAAAAGAAATTAAGACTATTTCACTATATTTTCATTAATTCATTTGAATATGCAATTTTTACTCTGTCTAAAATTTGCCAGTGCAATCAATTTTTGAGTAATAAAACAGGAAAGCAAAACAATGAAAAAAAAAGAAGGGAAATGCAAATAGATTTCTGTTACAATTTCCATTACAATTTCCGCGCAGTTGCATCGCAATAATAACGAGAAATAAAATTCTATGTGAACTAATATTTTGACACCATTATCACAATAGCATGTTTCAACTAATACTAATTCAATTTAATTACAAATTTACAACAATAACAAAACTGCATTTGTACATATTAGAACAAATCAAGTCTAATTGAATAGCTCAAAGATTGGTTGTAGTGGTCGGAATTATGGCATGATATAATTATAACAATAATAATATCTCTTTACTTTGTATACATATCTAATCTAAGATTTAGCAATTAGTCGTAGTGATATGGAAACAATTGCTTGAGAAACTGCATCAATGAATCTTTTATTTCTATACCATTAAATCAAATCAAATGTCGAATGCCACATATGTTTACCTCGCAGACTTGAGGCGAACCGAGATCTTAGACTTCGCTAATCGTAAAGAGTACTTCGAGATCCTCGTCAGTCTCTTCTCTGCGTCCCATGTGCATATAGTAGATTAAGCCAATGCCCAAAAAGTATCCTTGAAGAGCTGAAAAAATTAAAGTAGTATTGAAAAATAAATGCTTCGAATCTTTCGAAGATCAGAATTTTGAAGGGAATAGATTTCTTGATAGAAAGATTTGTTATATAACACTATAGACTAAAGAATTTATATATAACAAGACTGGTATCTTGCAAAGCAGCTGTCGAAAAATCAGCTCAAAAAACTCGACAAAAAATTCTAATTCATTGCATTTAGTACGGCATTTCACAACACTGGTCACAAATGTACAGTTAGCAGCTATTTTCAAAAGTATTGTTTACTTCAGCCGTTGGCTTCTATTGCTTTATAGAGCGCCTAGTCTGTCTGATTTCGATATCTTTATTCACCCACCTGATATGAATGTATCCCATAGCATAGTATCGGATCTACTCCCAAAGACCTGCGTGTAGACCAGGAACGCCACAATGCACACTGCCATCACAGAAATCCAAATCAAGACACATATCTTGCGTTGCTATAGGAATATATCTAAGTGTATATATATATCTATGGCAAAGGTAAAATCGTAGGCGTAATACTCACAAAGACAACGCCGATCAATAGCAGATGGGAACAGAAGAACGCAATGAGGCCAAACAATATATTGAGCTCGGCATTCTGTTCGATCCGTTTGCTATGCGTCCATCGGGGTGGCGATTTGTCATCCCTGCCATATAGTTCGCTGCAGCCCTGGTACATCTGCCATAGACCCAGAATATTTTCGAATACCACAATTAGCTTGCAGCCCAATTTCAGGCTGAAAAAGTAACAGCAAGTCGTCACACGGAGCATGGCATAGTGAACGGCATTCAGTTCCTGACGCCATTGCCGGCCCTGCATTAAATTTGGAATAGACATTGAAATCGATATCGAATTGGCTTGACGAAATTCCTAAGCACAATATAATTTGTACTCTGTTCGAAATATCGTAGAAGAGGAGAAGAAAGCGGCCTACTTTGATTGTTTTCAGCTGCTTTTGATGAAGTTTTTGTGCAATTTCCTCGACGAAAATTAAGTGCACAAGCGAAAATCCAATTTGATTTATTTGTTTGGCGCAGCGAAAATGAGAACAAAAATCTCTAAAACAATTCAATTTTTCAGCTTCAACTCTTACTCACTCTTCGTCGCTCTCTCTCTCCCTCTCGCTCTCTGTCGCTCTTTTGCTCATACAGTTTCTCTTTCCATTTGCCAGCTAAGTTCATGCCTCTGGCAGCTGCCTCGTGCCTTCTGCCTTGTACCACCCCGTCGTGGCACAATCAGTTGGCCATAAGCGAAATTCCTTTTAAAAGCATTTTTCGAATTGTCTTGACTCGGCCACTTGAACTCTGTGTCCATTGCCTAGGCCGTCCAGTCACGGCCCTTCCTGTGGCCGCATGCCATTGTGGTTGAGCGTGGCGCGCGCTCTAGTCCTGATTACTTACTTGGGCGCTCCCTTTTATGTCTAATGCCCTTCAGTTTGGCCATGTCATCGTGGCACAATAAGTGACAGCATATTGGATTTAAATTAACTTGCATAACATTTCATAATTTGTTTATTTCAAATTCGTTTTGACATACATTTCACTTAATTAAATTGTTCAAGCCAAAAGCCAAAATGAAATATTTTCACTTAAATGAAATTCTCAACTTAATTTGTATTTTATGCAATTATTTAATTTGCCGATTGCAGCAAAAATTATTTGAATTTTTAATAGTTTCCCGTTTTTGTTGCTGTTGCATATTTAATCACTTTTCACACTTTTTGAATTCACATCTGCGATGTTTCATAGACAGCAAAACTAATTGAACAAAGATATAGTCTTGATAGCTTTCGCTACGACTTTTACCAGGATATCCATTGAGAATATTTTTGTGTGCTCATAAGACTTGCCAAAACTGACTAAACTCTTGATTTTCTTTATCGTAAATCTAGCCATGCTTGGTAGAATGAATGCAGAGCTTAACAACTACTTAGGCAGCTTTATTTACCTCTTAGATTTTTGCTAAACTTTCACCGACAAGCAGCTTAGTCTAGCTGAGCAGCGATAAGAGCCTTAGGATTATGATATTCAGTAGAAATTAGCGGATATATTTGAGAGTATGATAAAACATATTTAATATATAGATATATGTATATATGGCCTCCTTATAGTTACAGAATTTTAGACTGCTGAAAATGCAAACTACAAAGCTCTTAAAAAGGCCTCTTAAAATGTTGTTTAAATCTTTCTTAGTCACTGAAATATTGTGACTTGGCTAATTTCGACTTCTATAAACCTATTGAATAGATTTAAAATTCCTGTCAAGACTCTCATCAGCTTCTTATTTACTCAGTTTGCTCCAATTTGATTCCCTTGTGAAATTCATTTCCTGCTGCACAAAAGCCTTAGACCACGACCTGCCTCAACAGTTGCAGAGTACATATTTGCGGATTGAATAAATATCGAGTTTTAAGAATTGCCAAAGCATGCGTGACATTTTAATAATGCTGGCAAGTCAAGTGCAAAATATTTCACCATTTTGCAGATGGTTTATTCGAATTCCTTGTAAAATTTCAGCTTTGCGCTCAAAAGTATGCTACGAAAAATGTCGGCTGAAGACATTTTATTTGTGTACGGGTCAGCCACAGAGAGCAACACATGCAGATGAAATGAATTTCTTTTTTTTCGGCTACTCTGTTGACAACTATTTGAAGTTGTGGGCGTGCGCACCGAAAAATGCCCCTTTGGCTGAAATAGATTGAAAGGGCGGCCGAGGTCAAGAGTCGTGCACCTAAAAGGGTTAATTTTAAATTTATTGCGTCGCCCCTTGTTACATATGCCTCCAAATCCATGCGATGGGACCGGTTAACATAAGGCGTAGGCGTTGTCCAAAATGCTGCAACACCAATTTACACACACCCACACATACACAGGCAGCTAAATTTATGTAACGTGAGCTGAGTCCTTTGGGAGCGACCTGCATGACGGCTATGACATGGCGATATTTCTCTGTTGTTGCCAGGACACGTTATCTGGGCAACTGTTGCAGGCACAGTCCAGCGACCAGCGCTCAGCTCCAAGCCGGTCGGTGGGCGTGGCTGTACTTTATTTTATTGCTTTAATAAATATAAAATGCGCTGCGCTCTATCTCGCACTCGCTCGCTATCGCCCAGCCCATCCGGCCCTCAGTCGTTCGCACATTTTTCTACATTACCCGAGTTAACGGCATAGTTTGTTACCACAATTAGCAGCAGTAGGCGGGGCAGTGCTAGGCTGCATGTATGTGGGATTGTGGGCGTACTTTGTTTGGGGTTGACAGCACTCAATCTTGGGCATCGCACTTAATTGGGCTCGGCTAAATATGTTGCCACATAAGCAAAGATCATTTTCTTGTTGTTGTATTTTTTTGTTCTTGATGCTGCCGCTGCTGCTGCTGCTACATAAATTTTAATTAATCATAAAAATGCGCATCAAAATGGTGCGCAGGTTCAGACGCGTATTGTTTATGCCCTTTGTTCGCTGTTGTTGCTGCTGATATTGTTGTTGTTGTTTATGCCTAGCGCACGCTGTCCCGAGAAATATTCATATTCGTATTTAATAATAAATCACAAGATGCTGCCGCCTGGAGGTCGCTGAAACAAACAGCGCCAGCCATGCCGCGGCTACATTCATTTTGCTTAGCTGCTGGGACAGCAGAATGTGTTGCAACGTTTGATTTTCATTAGCATTCACACACACCCACACACACATACACATACCCAGAGAGCAACATGGCGCCATAAAAGGATTGTTTGGCTGCTAAGAAAATTTAATTAAAGCCATCATGGCATTGTGCATGGCTCATAGCCTGCCTTAACCTTGGCTTCACAAACTCTCTCTCGCTCTCTCCCCCTCTCTTTCTCTCTCTCTCTCCCTTTATCTCTCTCTCTCTGTCAATTAATCAGCCACGCAGTAGCCACGCCATTTTTATCAAAAGGATGTTCACATCAACTAATTTGCAGAATTTTGCGGCGTGTAAATAATTATTATATGCCTGCATTTCCTGTCCACCTTCCTGCTGTCCTTCCTGTTGCTCATTCGCGCACAGCTATCGCTAAAATGTGGAAACGTTTGATTCTACACTTGTTACAAAGGGGGCACTTTGAAATTATAATGAATCCTATTACGTGGCGTTGTGCTCGCATAAGTAATAGATCGAATATAAATTATTCCTAACATATTATATATTGATTTATGTTAACAATGCATTCAGTTGGAGCAGAGATAAAGGTCGCTACAGCTTTGTTCTACAATAAAAGGGAAAGTTTATGTTGAATATTTCATTCGATATATTTCCATAATGTATTAAGTTGAAAATTTGTATGAATTTTATTTTGTAGAAATTTAAAATGAAATACCAATTTAATTCAATTTCATCAAATTCTTATTTCATTTTAAATTTCTATAAAATTATAAATAAGGCAACCCCTTAATTTTTTACATTATTCAGTTTTATTAATCAAGGAAAAAAATTTTAGTAATATATAATGTTACAGAATTCGGTTAAAAATTTTAATATTAAATTGGAGGAACTTAAACAATGTTGAAAATCAAAATTATATAATTGAAAAATTATTAATTTGTTTATTTATTTATTTTTATTTAATTAACTATTTTTATACCCTGAACCCATTGAAAATGGGAAATCAGGGTATAATGGTTTTGTTAAAAGTATGTAACAGGCAGAAGGAGGCGTGGCAGACCCCACAAAGCGACGAGCTGAGTCGATTTGGCCCTGTCCGTCTGTCTGTCCGTCCGTTTGTATGAACGCGTCGATTTCAGAAGATATAAGAGCTAGAGACTTCAAATTTTTTTTAAAATGTCCGTAATTACAGCGCGCATATCAAGTTTATCATTAAAAATCGATAACTCATCCCGATCTTTTTTTATCGATAAAAAACCTTATCGAAAACCAGTTATAAAATTATATCTTCTACACCTTTATTGCTAGAGTCTCCAAATTTTTAATGTATGCTTATATGCAATTTATACAATTTCGGTTTTTGTTAAAATTTACCCCCCACCCTTAAATTCACCCCCTCACCCTCACTTTTGTAAAAAGCGTATTTCAAATACTAGAGACTTGTGCTTTGGCAATTACATGCATATNGAATGATTAGAATATCAGCTTGGAGGGTTCAGGGTATCTCCTAGTCGAGCAGTCTCGACTGGAGCTTTCTTACTTGTTTTTTTTGAATTTTTTTTAATTTTACAATATTTAGAATAATAATTTCAAAGCTAGAAATTTATCAATAATTCATAGATAGTATAAAGTAAAAAGCATTAAAAAAACGGGCAACAATTTGGTTTTGATAAAATGGTGTAAAATTGCCAAGTTTGAGCGTACGTAATCCCTAGTCGAATACTGCTCTCAACTTCAATTTAAGCTCATCTGCAAGATACTTATAGACTATAGTCAAATATCTGTCAGAAGTTGTAAACTTTTCCGAAACTTTATCATAGTAGAAAGATTTGTATTTGGTGTGCAATGCAATTGACATAATTTATTTTATATTTTGATAACATTGCAGACAAGATTTTGCATGCACACCGAAAGCTAGTCGTTACACTGAGAAAAAATCCTTCTATGCCCATAAAATTGTTCAATTTAATATGAAAATATATACATACATATATTATATGCTTGGTAAGAGCATTTAAGGTACATTGTTGCGCCTATTCATGCTTGTTTTTATATACCTATTTTGTGTCCCTCCTCTCTCTCCCCCCTCTCTCCCACCATCGCTCTCACACTCTGTCGCCCACTCATTCATTGTGGCTGCTGTTCGAAGTTGATAAATATTTAAGCGTAAATCTGAACAGAATACTGTGCAGAGCTCTTAGTGCAAAGCAGCTGCTTTTATGGTTATTTTGCTGCTGCTGCTGATGATGTTTTTGTTGTTGTTGTTGCACCCACAACAGCACTTGGCAGACAGATTTGAGCAGCTTGGATCAGCCGAGGAGAGCCGAGACAGACAAGATTTCACTTCAAGAATTTCGTGAACGCACGACAAGTGCCGCATTTTTGGTTTCTGGTTATATATTTATATTTTTTGTTGTTTCTCCAGAGAGCGAGAGAGGGCGAGAGGGCGCTAGAGCGCTGGGAGAGTCGGGCCGCATTTGTTAGCAAAGTTTTCTAGCTGTTTTCATTCATTAAAATTTCATTTGAAAATCAGCCAAAATGCTGCCGTAATCCTTGCTAGCCATTTGTTTTGTTTAGCCAGAGCACATTGTCTTGGCACTTGAACAAACATTTCTGTCAGCAAAACTCTCCCCTGATAGACATTTGTCTATGTGTGTGTGTGTATGTTTATGTTTGTGCTCAGCTTGTTGTATAATGTTTAGCTATAGCTCCTACTTCTGATATTTCTCATCTTCTGCTTGACTTTTTGAGATACCAATGCCATATTTCATGCATTTAATTGCAGCGCTTCTTGTAGCCAAGTGCGTTTTATTTGACGTTCATAGTTTATGCCACCTTTTTTTCCTGTAGATAAACAGCAAGAGAACTCGTTCGA